CTGACAGAGACTGTATCGAATCCTGCGGAGACTCAGAACGGACTGGACTCCTCTGAGGTTCCCGCTCTGAACTCTTCTTCGCCTCCGTGTTTTGAGGATGAAGATGAGAAGCCGCACTCAGCAGGTCTGTTTTCCAGAAGCCAGTTCCCGTTTCCCCCGTCTGCATTTGAGGACACCGACAGCGACTGCACCATCGACTCGTCCGCCTCGTGTCACTCGGAGCCGCTGCATTCACCGGCGACGCGCCTCCGCAAGCAGCCGCTCAAGAAGATCATGAAGAAGACGCTGAGCTACGAGCTGCCGGCGCGGGACAGAGCTCCTCACGGCTACAGCGGCGTCTGCATCCGAGGACTGGAGGTCTCCAATAACGCCAAGAACCCGGCTCTGGGCCGCAGCCGCAGCATGTCGTCCCCGTCTGCTCAGTGCAGACACAGCGACGCAGACACCAAGAGACACAGCGGGTGAGTGACGCGCAGAACATCCCGCTTTCAGACCGAAACATTACTAATTATAATAAATCAGAATTATTATTATTATTTGTATTTTTACTGTTGTTCTGTAAAAATAAATAACTATTATTACTATTAGTAGTAGTAGTAGTAGTATTATTAATCATAATAACAATAATGATAATAGTAAAAACAGTAATAATAATTATTAAGACACAGCGGGTGAGCAAAACATCCCGCTTTCAGACCGAAAATATTACTAATATAATAAATCATAAAAATAACTAAAAATAAATAACTATTATTACTATTAGTAGTAGTAGTAGTAGTATTAATAATCATAATAACAATAATGATAATAGTAATAACAGTAATAATAATAATTATTATTATTAGTATTTTATTTTGTCTTATTATTACTATACTATTATATATTTCTTTATTGATTTGTTTAATTTTTTATAATTAAATAAATAGTTATTTTATTAAATAAAATAAAAGACCGCTATCAATATTACTAATGAACTTAATAATAGAAATAATTAAACATAAATAATAGTAGTAGTTCTTATTTGTATTTTTACTGTTGTAAAAGTGCAGACACAGCGACGCAGATGCCAAGAGACACAGCGGGTGAGCAAAACATCCCGCTTTCAGACCGAAAATATTACTAATTATAATAAATCATAAAAATAACCAAATATAAAGAATTATTTTATTTGTATTTATACCATTGTTCTATAAAAATAAATAACTATTATTATTATTATTAGTACTCTTTGTCTCAGCCTAGATCACGGGTAAAGGCAAGAGGTGATCGTGCATTTGGAATAGTTGGACCGAGGCTATGGAATAACCTTCCTTTATCTGTGAAAGCTTCAAATTCTGTCTGAGTTTAAAACTAAATTGAAATCTTATTTTCTTACCTTGGCTTTTTAAACTTTGCATGTTAAATTATCTTTTGATTTTACTGATGTTGTTCTTTTTTTCTGGTTTTTATTTTATTTGTATAGCACAATGTTCAACTGCTGTTGTGTTTATTGGTGCGTAATAAATACATGAATGAATGAATGAATGTAGTAGTAGTATTATTAGTATTATTATTAATAATCATCATCATCATCATAATAATGATAATAGTAATAACAGTAACAGTAACAATAATAATAATAATAAGAAGAATAATTAGTAGCAGTAGTAGTATGAAATACTATTTTTTTTATTTTATAGTGTCATATTATTACTATACTATAATATATTTCTTTATTGATGTAACGTGGAGACGTGACAACGGAGTAGTGGATCCAAATGCAATGCTTTATTATGAAGAGCGTAGTCAGAACAGGCAGGGTCAAAACACCACCAAACAGTAATATTAAAGGCACAGGCAAAAGAGTAATCCACAGAACAGCCAATGGTCAGGGCAGGCAGCAAAACAATCGTGAAAACCAGATAAACAGTCCAAGATCCAAAAACCATAAAGGCAAAGCAAGACAAGGCACAGGAAAACACGGAGCTCATGGGCAGTTAGAGATCATGACAGGTCCTGGACTTTGGACAGATCTGGACCAAAGAGCACAGAGAGGTTAACAATGGCCTCAGCAGCCGTAGCAGGACCGGCAGATAGTTCAGAAACGACATCTTTGGCCGTAACAGGGTGAGCGTAGCAGGCAGGGCTGAGAATTCATGATTGGCTTCTAGGGCCAAGACTGGTTTGACAGGGGATTTACTGATGGTCTCCATGACCTCGTCAGGACAGACAAAGAGTTCATTAGTGGGCACCCCTGTCTTAAGAGTACACCTCTGGAGGTTCTGCAGCGGATGCCGCCACCTCTGGAGGTTCTGCAGCAGTAGCAATAAGAGCTACAACAAACACAGAGAGTTCAGAGACAGCACTTGCGGCCATAATAGAGGCATCAGGAAACAGGGAGAGTTTAAAACTAGTGTCCATGGTAGAAACAGAGGCGACAAGGAACACCGAGAGCTCAGGGGAGAGTGCTGCTATTGTCTCGGAAGGAGTCGGAGCAGATATTTCCGCTGTGAAAGGTTCTGCAACAGAAGTTGCCACCTTAGGAGAAACTGGAACAGACTCAGGGACAGGAAAGGTCTCTGGGACTGGAGCCGGACACTGGATGGTGCTCTGGAGGAACGGACACTGGAACTGATGAAGGAGGGCTGGGCGGACTTTTCAGGGACTCAAGATACGCAGGAGAGCTGGACGGGACCAGCGGAGACAAAGGAGAGCTAAGCTCCTGATTGAGCTTGGTGTAGTGAGCGGGCTCTGGAGAGCATTCTAGAGCAGGCTCTGGACTAGAAGCAAACTCTGGAACGGATTCATGGACTAGAGCTGGATCCCGGCTGAGCTCTGGGGCGAGAGCAGGCACTAGACTGAGCTCGGGGGCTGGAGCCTGCACTGGACTTTGGTCAGGGGCTGGAGCCTGCATTGGACTCTGATCTGGAACAGATACCCTCTCTGGGCTAAACTTGGGAAAAGGAGCCCTCTCTGGGCTAGACTCGGGGACTGGAGTGGGTGCCACCACTTCAGGAGGTTCTGCAGTGGAGGCTGCAACCTCTGGGGAAACTTACGGTGGTGTGTGCGGCCCAAACACACAGAATGTATAACTGGTAGGACAGAGAGTACATCGTCTATCTCAGAGACTGAAGGTGCTGTGCCTGGGGAACTGGGGTGAGTAGTGGCCGGCAATCTTGAAAGTGTATGAACTGTGTCGCTAGAGAGCGTTTGTTTAGGGATACCAGATGCGTGTACTGACACCAGCGGTGGATCCTCCACACTGGATGCCAGTCTGGGATACCTTAGAACTGACCTCGAAGATCTGGGTACAACAGACGGGATGTGACAAGACTCTGGAAGACCAGCTGTGAAGTGATGTGACTCCGGGATGGCAGCAGTGGCCTGACAAGACTCTGGACGATCAGCTGTGACTTGATAAGACTCTGGACGATCAGCTGTGACGTGACAAGACTCTGGACGATCAGCTGTGACGTGTCGAGTCTCTGGACGATCAGCTGTGACGTGACGAAACTCTGGATGATCAGTTGTGGCCTGACGAAACTCTGGATGATCAGCTGTGACGTGACGAGACTCTGGGCGATGTGACGAGACTCTGGACGATCAGCTGTGACGTGATGAGACTCTAGACGATCAGCTGTGACATGAAGTGACTCAGGAAGATCAGCTGTGTCTTGACTTGACTCTGAGATGACAGCTGTGACGTGACGAGACTCTGGAATGGATGGGACGAGACGCAGGAATGGCAGCCATCTTGCAAAAAGTCTCTGGGTTGGCAGCCATTTTGGGCAGAGACTCTGCTTCTGCAGAATAATAAAATAACCATTATTAAATGTTCATTTGTATTTTACAGTATATTATTATTTTAGTAATGCTAATAATATCAATTACTTTATTGATTTGTTTATTTTTTGGAATGTTTATAATTTGATGAATGAACCATTATAATTTAATAAACATGATGATAATAATAATAATAATAATAGCAATAATTTATTAATAAGTAAATTGTATTATTATTATTATTGCTCTAATTATTAAAAAGATTTCAGATTTGTGTATAATTTAATGAATAAATTATAATTTAATAAAAAAATTATGATAATGATAAAGACAGACATGAATATTAGTAATATTAAATAATAGTGAATAATATAGATAATTAAACATTAAATGATAGTAATTATTTGTATTTGTTTCTGTTTTTCTGCAAAAATTATAATAATTAACATATCTTATTTTTTTAAATAAATTCTCGTTTTTTTATTTTATTATATAGTATTACTGCTTATATTATTATTGATTTGTTTAATTGTAATAATTTAATACAATTATAAAACTTTGAATGTGGCCTGAGAACTGAACTGAAATAGAGAGAGATTTTTAAACTGTATATGGTCTATAAGTTTTTCTTTTATGCTGCCCTCATGCTAAAGTTGACCATAAATCCACATTTTAATGCATGACTGAACTGCCTTATTCACGCTGCGTGGCTGCTGTGCTGCGTTTCAGTAAAATCCAGCACATCATGGACGAGATGATCTCCACCGAGAGAGAGTACGTCAGATCCCTCAGCTACATCATCCAGCACTACTTCCCTGAGATGGAGCGACTGGACCTTCCTCAGGACCTCCGAGGGAAGCGCAGCATCATTTTTGGGAATCTGGAGAAACTGTGCGACTTTCACAGCCAGTATTTCCTGACGGATCTGGAGAGCTGCGCTCATTCACCGCTGTCCATCAGCAGCTGCTTGCTCAAACACGTGAGTCCATGTGATGGTTAATGAAGTCTCTTCTGCTCACCAAAGCCACATTTATTTGATCAAAAATACAGCAAAAATGTGAAATAATATTACAATTTAAAATTTATTTCTGTGATCAAAGCTGAATTTTCAGCATCATTACTCCAGTCTTCAGTGTGCTGTTTTTCTTTCTCAAATCCTCCCAGAGTTTAATCAGTCTGATGTTTTGGATCTCTTCTCATTTAATACTTTGAACTACTTTGACAAAGGCGGGCCGTTTCTGGCATGCGGCTCTATTTGTTGAGATTCCTAAAGTTGGAAGAAAAACGCATATAAGAGTGTTAACGAGTGCTGTGTTTGTGGTTGTTTGTGCAAGAGCAGCTAATAGGCAGTCAGTGATTCCCATTAAAAGGATAATTGTTGTGTGAGTCCATGTGATGGTTAATGAAGTCTCTTCTGCTCACCAAAGCCACATTTATTTGATCAAAAATACAGCAAAAATGTGAAATAATATTACAATTTAAAATTTATTTCTGTGATCAAAGCTGAATTTTCAGCATCATTACTCCAGTCTTCAGTGTCACATGATCTTCAGAAATCATTCTAATATGCTGATTTACTGCTCAAGAAACATTTCTGATTATTATCAATGTTGAAAACAGTTCATATTTTTGTGGAAATGGTGGATTCTTTGATGAATAGAAAGTTTGATGAAAGAACGAAAAGCAATTATTTAAAATCTTTTATAAAATAATACTGTAAATGACTTATTTAATAATGAAATAAAATAAATAATTATTTAAATGTTATTATATTATACTATTTACTATTATTATACCATTTATAAAGTAGATTTATTCATTTGTGTGAATACATTTAATTTAAATTAATAATTGTATTTATTTTTATTTATTTGAATAAATACCATTTAATGTTATTTAAAAAGTCATTATAAAAAGTCATTATTGAATTATTAAATGAAATTAAATATTTTAAAATAAAAGTATAGACTATTTATAAAGTAGATTTATTCATTTACTTTTGTATGCATTTAATTCAAATAAATATATTTTTATTTTTATTTTTTTATTTGGATAAATACCATTTAATGTAAATAAGTAATTATTGAGTAATTAAATTAAATATTAAAAATATAATTTATTATTTATTTGAATAAAGAACATTTGGTGTAAATAAAATAATGAATTATTAATGAAATAAAATAAATAATTATTTAATTAAGTAAAATAAATAATTATTATTTAAAAATAAAATTTGTGTGCATTTATATTATTTTAATAATTTTTAATTTATTTAAATAAACACCATTTATTTTAAATAAAACAAGTAGCTATTTAATAAAAAATAAAAAGTTTTAAAATATAATTATTAGTTCATTTGGATAAAACCTCAAACTTTTAAATGATAATGTGCACAGTGTGCAACGGCAGAAATTGTCATGGTTGCTCTCGATAAATGCTGTTGAAATCTTACGAGATAGTGTAAGATATAAATGTGTTTTTTCCGCGGTTAGGAGGAACAGTTCGGGATGTACGCCCTGTACAGCAAAAACAAGCCGCGCTCAGACGCTCTGCTGACGAGCCACGGAAACAGTTTTTTCAAGGTAAGCGCTGGTGTTTCTCCTCCGTGACGTTGTTCACTCGAGCTGAAGACGTTTCTGAAGGGTTCCTGTGCTCTGCAGAACAAGCAGCTGGAGCTGGGCGATAAGATGGACCTGGCGTCGTACCTGCTGAAGCCCATCCAGAGGATGAGTAAATACGCTCTGCTCCTGAAGGATCTGATCAAGGAGTGCGGTCAGTCTCAGGAGCAGGAGCTGGCTGACCTCAGAACAGCGCAGGAGATGGTGCGGTTCCAGCTGCGCCACGGGAACGACCTGCTGGCCATGGATGCCATCCGCGGCTGTGACGTACGTTCGATTTAGATCAGACATGCAAACTCCTCCCCTTTCAGTGACAACTCACTTTTCTGAGATCAAAATAGGTCACCTATGAGATTTGCTTAGATCCAATGAGAAAGTGTTTTTATGCGGGGGAGTTACTCTTTACTTCAAAAACTATGTCTAAAAAGGGTAATATTTGATGTATTTGAGGTCTGAGATGTGGGAATGGTGAAGAAAAGAGAGAGGGCAAACATTTTATATTTTAGGTCAGCGTTGCCGTCTAATCAGCCGATATTGTCTTAAATATTGTCTTTTATAACATGGGATTTTGACCAAATATATTCAGCCTTGATTTTTGTAAAATGTTGCAACAAGATGTTAGTTGTTTTTTTTTTGTGTGGAAAAATTACCGTTTTGGACATATGTGACCCTGGAGCACAAAACCAGTCTTAAAGGTGTAATAGGTGATTGTCTTCAGAAACGTTTTTTGTTATGCTGGTTGAAAGTCTCTTCACATCCCGATAGCAATCATTAAGTTAAGTGGTCTAAATGTATTTATCTGTATTTATATATTCTGTGGAAGGCGTAGGATCAAGAAATGCTCGTCCAATCAAAACGCTCAGTCCGAGCGTTTTAATTGGCTTTCCTGCCCGTCAACATATGTATCTGCATACCTCTGCGCACCAGGTTCGCGCATACAGGATACGTCATCAGCTCGTTCACGCACGCTGTGCAGACAGAGCGAGGATAGCAGACAAACATCAACAACTCGATCTTCCTTCCTGGTATTGTAGTACTTTTACTAACTGTACTATAAAGTTTTCTCACCGGTGAATGACACATGATGTAGCCCAGCGGTTAATCCAGTCCTCGCGCCAGC